GCAAAAGTAGACAGAGTTTGAGTTTAAGAACATTCCACTTGGGGGGGGGGGGGGGGCGGGGGGGGTGGGGGGGGGGGGGGGGGGGGGGGGCAGTGATAAGTTATAGTCAACAGAAGCCCATCCCTGAATTCACATATTATACTGTGATCTGAAGACCTGCCAATTTTTGAAAGTTACACTGTAGAAAGCACTGCAATTCTGTCTCTAGTCATCACAAGGTCGCCTAATTGAATTATTTTAATGGAAAACAGTTGTATATTACTGCCGTCACATTGCATAGGGAAATGTTGTGATCTGGCTGCACAGCAACAAATCAATACTGGATTTACACTAACATTACAAGGTTCACTTTTTTTCCCCCTTTAAAATAATACACGTCATACTTAACCTGCTCTGTGCAATGGTTTTGCACAGAGCAGCTCCGATCCTCTTCTTGGGTCCCCTGCCAGCACTCTTGGCCCCTCCTTTTTGGTGTCCCCATTAGGAAGCCGCTTCTGATGGGAGCACTCATGCGGGGCTCACTCTGGAGCTGCATTATCTGCATTCATTGACACAGACAGGGAGGCTCAGCCAATGGCGCCACTGCTATCAATTTATGCAGGGTGGTAGGATAGAGCAGGGAGAGCCGCTGCTCTCATGCACATTGCTGAATCAGGATCAGGCTCAAGTAAGTATAAGGGGGGTGAAGGGAAACACATGCAGCAGAGAATGTTTCTTTTCTTAATGCATAGAATACATTAAGGTAAAAAAAAAAAATCCTAAGGCTTTACAACCACTTAACTTTCTAATGCTGGTTCCCTCAAAATAGTTTGCATTCTATTTATGGTACCACTGCTGTATAACTGTACCCCTGCATGATCAGTTTTTTCATTTCAATCCATATTAAAGCTGGAATGAACCATGTACAACCCCTGGCAAAAAGTACTGTATGGAATCACCACTCTTGGAAAATGTTCATTCAATTCTGTAGAAAAAAAAACTAATCACAGACATGCCTTAAAACTATTTTTATTTAACATTTAAGCTTTCTGGCTTTAAGAAACACTTAAAAATGTAAAAAAAAGAAAAAACTATAGGTCAGTTGCAATTGTTTTTGCAGATCAAGCAGAGGAAAAAAAAAAATGAAATCACTAAATTCTAAGGAAAATATTATGGAATCACCCTGTGCTTTGCAGTTCTAATATAAACATCTGCATCAGATTACATCTGCTAATTAGTCTGCAGTTAAAGATGATTATAAAAAACTTCAAGAAAGTAAATCATTACAGAATGTTGCAAAAGATGTTGGTTGTTCCCAGTTAGCTGTGTCTAAAATCTGGTCCAAGTAAAAATCAAATGGGAAGGTTGTAAAAAGGGAAAAAAAAAAAGAACACTAATCAAAACGCAAATGCACATCCCAAGACAGAGGATAAAAACGGTCATAAGTGATGAAGAACCACTGCAGCCATAGCAAGTCACATGAGTGAATCCTCAGGGAATACTGAAAAGAGCCAGGCGCTGTGGAATGTGGAATCATATAAACACCTGTGAGGTGTACCTTTAATCAAGGATGGTGCATAACAGGAGAAAATATAAAACACAAGCCTGTGGCTTTAAGATGCCTGGTTTACAGATGGACGGCCCCTCTGCTTAGAGGGGAGCTGTGGAGGAAAGGAACGCCGGTCAAGCAGGGACCCACGTGATCGCAGCATCCTGGGTGACGTCACTGCAATGTCCAGGAGACAGAGGGGAGGAATCCACACTAAAGCCCAGCTTGGAATTGAAGCCCGGACATCGCGGTGACGTCACTCGTGACGCCGCAATCACGTGGTCCCTGCTGGACAGGCGTTCTTTTCCTCCACAGCTCCCCTCTTAGCGGACAGGCCATCCATCTGGAAACCAGGCATCTTAAAGCCACAGGCTTGTATTTTATCTTGTTACCTCACAGAAAGGTGTTTATATGATTACACATTCCACAGCGCCTGGCTCTTTTTCAGTAGTCTTTAGGGTACTCCCTTGTAAAAAGGGAAGAATACTGGTAGACCAAGGAAAACATCAAAGCATCAAGATAGAAAAAGTAATGTGTCTTGAAAACAGAATATGCACAACAAAACAAATGGAGAGTCAATGTCTGTGACTGAACTGTAAGATATCATCTAAGGAAATGGGATTTACATACAGAAATGCCAAACGAAAACCATCATTAACACCTAAACAGAAAAAAATGTTACAGTGAGTTAAAGAAAAGCAATCATGGACTGTGGATAACTGGATGAAAGTGATATTCAGTGGTGAATCACGAATCTGCATTGGGCAGGGTGATGATGCTGGAACTTGTGTTTGGTGCCGTTCCAATGAAATGTATAAATACGACTGCCTGAAGAAAAACATGCAAATTTCCAGAGTCATTGATGATGTGGGGTTGCATGTCAGGTTAAGGTACGGGGGAGAGGACAGTCATTAAATCTTCAATAAATGCACAAGTATATATTGAGATTTTGGACACTTTTCTGTTTCCATCAATTGAAAGGATATTTGGTGATGACATCATTTTTCAGGATGATAATGCATCTTGCCATAGGGCAAAAGCTGTGAAAACTTTCCTACAAGAAACACATATTGTCAATGGCATGGCATGAAAATATTTCAGAAAATCTATGGTGGAAAGTAAAGAAAATGGTCCATCACAAAGCTGATCTGGCAACTTCAATAAGAGAAAGTTGGAACTGGACTGACGAAGAATACGGTTTGTCGATAAATAAATCCATGCCTCAGAGAATTCAAGCTGGTATAAAAGCCAGAGGTGGTGCGACGAAGTACTAGTGGTGTACTGTAGTGTTTGTTTTTTTATTGTTTTTTATTTTATTTTTTTTTTACTCCAGCATATTTTCATCAGAATTGAGCATTCCATATATTTTTTTTCCTCTGCTTGAGCTGCAGAAACAGTTGCAACAGACTAGTTTTCTTTTTTTTTTTTTTTTTTTTTTTTTAAGTGTTTCTTAACCACTTGACAACCAGTTTATAGCTAAATGATGGCTACAGCGTGGTTGTCCAGTTCTGGGAAGGAGTCATATGACTCTGTAAAGCTCTCTAAGCACTGTTGTTGTGCTAATCTGAAGGCCACAGGAAGTTTGGAAGTCTTTAGCTGTTGACTCTTCACACTTGGCAACTTTTGCACACACTGCACCTCAGCATGCACTGACACCTCTGTCATTTTACATGGCCTACCACTTCGTGGCCAAGTTACTGTTGTTCCCAGCTGCTTCTACTTTGGTATATACCACTAACAGTGGACCGTGAAATATTTATTAGCAAAGAAATTTCACAAATGGACTTCTTGCACACATGGCAACTTATCATGATACCACGCTGGAATTCATTGAGTTCCTAAGAGCGACCCATTCACTTACAAATGTTTGTAGAAGCAGTCTGCATGCCTAGGTGCCTGATTTTATACAGCTGTGGCCATGGAGGTGATTGGAACACCTGAATCCAATGATTTGGAGGGGTGTCCCAATACTTTAGGAAATATAGTGTATGAAACATTGCCTTGGTTTTATTCAACCCTAAAAGCCGGTGCACACCACATGCAGTCCAGGGCTTTTTTTTTTTTTACTGCATCAAAAACACATGGACTGTAGATTACATGGATTCCAATGGAAAAATTCGCACCACTGCAGTGCATTCCAACATGGTCAACAAAAGTAGAACATGCTGGATTTTTTTTTCTGCAGTGAGCTGCACTGGAGCATGCAAAACATATCAAAAAAAAACACACCAGAACACATTACATCAAAAACAAATAAAACTGGAAATAAACTGAAAACCGCACGTTCAGAAATGCATCTGACTGTGGTGTGAAGCAGCAATAAGGGCTTGTTCACACCAGGTTTATTCAGTTGTGTTTATCAGCTAGATCAATGCAGACTAAGCGCAAGAACCAAGAACAATTGTCCCTGTTCACACCACACCAGTGTGTTGCATGTGTGTTTGATAAAAATGTCCACATTTTTATCACACACACAAAAATACCATTACATTGCATGGCAATGCACTGTCTTGTATAACGGTAAAGTCGTAGTAAACTGAGGTAATACAAAATCCGCTGACGACAGGGCTTTTATAAGACACCCTAGAGGTCTTTTCTGTCATAAATCTCCCTCCTGGCTATAAGATAATGAGATCTGAGTTGCACATGCGCAGCTCAGACTACATTTATGGCCCATTCTTCATGCTGTAGTGATGTTACCCATGTGCATGCACGGGGGTGATATCACCACTGCCATCCATTCAAGTGGCCGAAGATTCCGAACCCTGAAGGAAGACCAGTGAAGAAGGAAGGAAAGGAAGACCAGGTGAAGAAGGAAGGAAAGGAAGACCAGGTGAAGAAGGAAGGAAAGGAAGACCAGGTGAAGAAGGAAGGAAAGGAAGACCAGGTGAAGAAGGAAGGAAAGGAAGACCAGGTGAAGAAGGAAGGAAAGGAAGACCAGGTGAAGAAGGAAGGAAAGGAAGACCAGGTGAAGAAGGAAGGAAAGGAAGACCAGGTGAAGAAGGAAGGAAAGGAAGACCAGGTGAAGAAGGAAGGAAAGGAAGACCAGGTGAAGAAGGAAGGAAAGGAAGACCAGGTGAAGTGATCCGCTTGGCAGTACTAGGGTCGTTGGTTCGAATCCCAACCATGGCACCACCTGCCTGGAGTTTGCATGTTCCCCTGTGCCTGCGAGGGTTTCCTCCTACACTCCAAAGACATGCGGGTAGGTTAAGTTGCTCCTGTCTAAATTGGCCCTAGTATGTGTATGTATGTATGAATGTAACTTAAGAACCTTTGATTGTACGCCCCTTGAGCGTTAGGGACTGATGTGAACCTACAATATATATGTAAAGCGCTGCATAAATTGATGGTGCTATACAAGTACCTGAAATAATAATACTAGTATATTGTGACTTAAAGTGTTCCTAAACCCAGGACCCTGCATTCACTCTATCTGGTCTCCCACAGTACACTACATGAAAATGCAATTATTTTAGTAAATATAAACTGCTAAATACCTTTTCTCATCAGCAGTTACAGCAGTCTTGTAAATTCTATCAGTTTCCAGCCAAGCACATGTTAAAGCTTGTAGGAGGACTTTTCTTTCTGCTCTAGGAGGATGCAGAACCCCTTACCTCTGTCTGGACAGTATAGAGTGGCGTTGTGCTGATCACATGCACCAAGAAAAAAAAAAAACCTCTATAGCAATACACAATGAACTGAGCATGTGCAAAGTGTCTCCACATGATATGTCTTATCAGGAGATGAGAGGGACACTGGAAGAAGGGGAGGATCAGAGAAGACAGGATCAAACAGCCTTTTTACACAATGCAGAGGATTAACCTTTTAGATTCCACAGTGAGCATGCTTTACTGCATATACAGACTGACTTTACTTTTGTGGTTTTAGGAACACTTTAAACCTGCCACCGGACCCATTTTTGTTCATACTAGGAGCTCAGTTTGGGAAAGATTGAGTTTGAAGAAGTGGAGTGACATCCAATCCGATATGTCACTTAGTAGGCTTGTGATACGAGAGGAGACTGAAGGGGTGAGGTGAGGGGTAGAGAGATAGATTTGTGTGTCGTCAGCATAGAGATGGTAATTGAAGCCGTGGGAATTTATCAATTGACCAAGGGAGGAGGTGTAGATTGAGAAGAGAAGGGGTCCGAGGACAGAACCTTGAGGGACCCCAACACAGAGATGGAGTGAAGAGGAGGTGGCAGCGTTATAGAGAACACTGAAGGAGCGCTGTGATAGGTAGGAGGAGAGCCAGGAGAGAGCGAAGTCTCTGAGGCCAAGAGAGTGTAGTTTTTTTTGAGGAGGAAGGGATGGTCAACCGTGTCAAAAGCCGCAGAGAGGTCGAGGAGTAGGAGTACTGTATAGTGGCCATTGGTTTTGGCAGTTAGTAGGTCGTTGGGGAGTTTGAGTAGGGCAGTTTCGGTGGAGTGTAGGGGGCGGAAGCCAGACTGTAGAGGATCAAGGAGGTTGTCAGCGAGGTGGGAGCTCAGGCGATTTTAGACTAAGCGCTCTAGGAGTTTAGAGGTAAATGGCAGCAGGGAGATGGGTCTTAAGTTGTTCAAGTCGGTGGGGTCCAGGGAGGGTTTTTTAAGTATGGGAGTGATGTGCGCGTGCTTTAGAGGGGAGGGGAAGGTGCCAGTAGATAGGGAAAGATTGAAGATGTGAGTGAGGGAGCGTAGGATGGAAGAAGAGGGTGACCGTAGGAGTTGTGAGGGGACAGGGTCCAGGGGACAGGTGGTGAGGCGGGCTTCTGAAAAGACCTTAGTGACCTCTTCAGTAGTAGCGGGGTCGAAGGAGCGAAGTGTTGAGGGGGTTTTGGTGTGAGGAATGCTAGGTGGGGGTGGAAGTCTGAGCAGTGGCAATGTCCCTACGAATTGCGTCAATCTTGTTTTTGAAGTGGTTAAAAAAAAATAAAAAATCTAAGGCTAAACCTACTCCCAGCCCTAATCTAGGCCTATTCTAACTAGCACTGTAAAGAAAAGATCTGTATACTTACCTATTCTGAAGATGCTCCAGTCCGGTCCCATGGTCAGTTGTCAGGGACAGCTTCAGTGTAGAAAAGGGACATCTGCCATCTCCCAGACATTTACAGTCATCAGTGATCTCTTCTCTACACAGAAACCGCCACTGGAAAGATCACCTGACCGGAGCAGCCTTACAATAGCCAAGTATACATATCTTTTCTTTACAGGGTTAGATAAAATAGGATTAGATTGGGGTGGGAGTAAGTCTAGCCTTAGATTTTGACTAAACGGTCACTCAAACATTTCTTAATGTTTCCTATAAGACAGCAGATCTTCATTTTTGAAAATCAGGTATCAGGTCCACTGTAATAGAGGCAGGGGGTGAGGGAGAGACCTGTAAGTATTACATAGATAAACCATAAATTCTACACAGTATACGTCAAATAAAGAAAAAAGTTTTAAAAATCAAATTTTATTAAATTTAAGCCAAAATATATATGTAAATTAATTGGTTTACGTGAAAGTTATAGCGTCTACAGATGGCGGTATACATACTGGAATTTTTATATTATTTTCTTTATACTAATAACGATGGCGATCAGCGACTTATAGCGGGACTGCGGTGGGCATTCTGACACTGGGTGACACCAATACAGTGATCAGTGCTAATAAAAAGCACTGACACTGTACTAATGACACAGGGCAGGAAGGGGTTAATGTTCGAGCGATCAAAGGGTTAACTGTGTGCATTTTACTGTTTGTGCGGTTTTACCTTGGAGACATGCTGTTTTGTATTTCTCTGCTGTGCTGAGAAAATACAAAACAGCATGTCCTTGCTGGCAGGAGAGAGACCTGTTTTGTTTACACACAGGTCTCTCCCATCAGCTTTGCACGGCGAGTGCTGGGCACCTGCGGGGAATCTCCGGCCGGGACCCGGAGATTGACATGCCTAGCTGCAAATGGCGGCATGGGTAGGGCGGCGCACGCTCCCTACCCAGAAATGCAAATAACGTATATATACACAATTTTGCACAGCCCTGCAGCAATCGTTCTACTATAGGACAGCGGGTAAGCGGTTAAATTAAAAAAAATTGTTAAATCGTTATTTTTCTCAGCTGTCCCCAACTTGAGTTTGGCTGCAGATCTAGAAACAAGAGAATTCTCAGTAACCAGTTAGAGTCATGGCGCTTCATCTACAGATTATCTGTAGTTGCATTAAAGCAGTACTAAACCCAAAAGCCAACATTTGTTGTATTGCAGCTTACCAATTCTTAGATGTAATGGCTGTATTCGTTTCCTTTTCAAGGCTTTCTTTTACTTTCATCTGGTGATCTGGCCAGCAAGTCTGTTTCTCAACAGAAAAGCACTCTTGCAGTTAGACGGATGAGACAGACCTTTTAACACTGGCAGGAATGCTTAAAATGATCAACTTTTGAGTAAAACTTTTATCATCCCAAAAGGAAAAAAACTGCCTGCTGTAACTGATTATAAACATATTTGATGGAGTTTGGCTTCAATTGGTTACTGTATTTAAATCTGCTTCTAACACTCCCCTCCCTGCAGACCGACGATGCTGCTGTCCAAATCTGCCGACTGTACTTCTTCAGAGTGGTGTCTATATAATACAGGTGGTGTGTTACTGGCCAGATCACCAGGAAAAAACAGTGGGAGAAAAAAGCCTAGAAAAAAAAAAAAGAAAAAACTAATACAGCAACTACATCTAATAATTGGTAAGCTGCAATATTTTAAATTTTTGGCTTTGGGTTTAATACTGTTTTAGGGTTTGCAAGCATTGTACAAAGAGCATCCCAAGCATGGAACAGCGCAAGAAAGGTATAAAGCAGAACTAAACCCTCAACCTTTACAGTCATGGAAGCTGTCATATTAGGCTCTGTTTAATCTGCAGTTACCATGGTGCTGTACATGTGATCAGTCATTTGATCGTTTGACAGTTCGATTGAGAGCACAAGCAACTGACAGCCATCATTCACAGAATGCATTGAATGTAACAGTTTTGGGAAACCATTAAATCAATTGGTTTAGTTCTGCTTTAAGCAAAAATGCTCTTATAGACCAGTCTATCCTGCACAATAAGATCAGGTGTACCCTTTGAGGACCGTAAGGTTTTGGAACGCCAAAAGAATCAATTTTTTTGTTTTTAAAGTTCGTACACTTCAGTTGCTGTAACTAAGCCATTTCATGAAATAATTGGCAAAAAGCTAGATCCATTTGTTGTTTGTTGATAAGAACTAATATTTTGACTCAAACAAAAATTAAAAAAAAAAAAAAAAAAGTTTTAGGTTCTTAATCAGATGATATACGCAATTACAATCATGGGACAAATATGTCCCTTGGTCCTCAAAGGGTTAAAACGGAACTATACTTACCTTGGTCCCAGCGATGAGGTACCCTGGAGCACCCTGCCAGCCGCTGACATATTTGGGTGGTCAGCTTCTGGTTATAGACCACTGGCCAGGCCGAGATGACATTGCTTCCACGCATGTGAGGGAGTTCAGTCAGCTCAGTGATGCCAAATTTGTACAACAAGCTGCGAGTGAGCAGCTCACTGTACAGGGGGTACAGCCAGGTATGTCATTTTAATGTAGAAGAGACAGAACATGTCTATTCTGCATTAAAAATTATCACTGTTCACCCATGTTTTCCACTTTAAAGAAAGTTTATAGAATGTATATCATGCAGTGCCAATTGACATCTAGCATTGAAATAAATGGAAACACATCAAAGCATGTCACTGCATACGTAAAGAAGCACATCAATGCACAATATGATAAGTATTTAGTGCAAAGCACAACAGGTATTAATGCAGATGGATATGTGTTTTGATACTCTTACATTTATTTCAATGAAAACCTGCATCAGATATAAACACACAGGTGTGAACAGGCCCCACAGCTTCTCCTGTGTTTACAAATAGCAAGCAATAGGACTATTTGTATACATTACTCTGACACAACCCACACCCATATACAAGTGGAGACATCTGTCTACAGATGTTTGTGTTCACACAGCCTATGGCTATAAAACATACAAGAAACAATCAGTAATACTCAGAAATCAGTAGAATGCAATCACTTCACACAGGCGAGAAGGAAAAAAAAACAAAACAAAAAAAACCTAAGGCTACACTTCTAAAAATATGCCACACCAACCTGTGGATAGACATTGTCGGAGAAGTAAACATTGTCTAAAAGACAAGAGAGATGTGTATTCTTACTGATGTGCTTTGTGTAATTCTTACCGATCAGTACTCCAGCGTGAAACTTTATTCTGTGTAAAAAGCTTCATGTAAAAAGATTGCTCACTGCTGCTCTGTTCTTGTGCAGGGTGACTGCACCGCCATCATACAGTTGGTGGACCTACTGGGTCACTCACACAGCTCTGCTCTCTGCACAGACCATGTACAGCAAAGTCACAACTTCACTAATATGTTTATAAAGGTAATATCTGGGTTTGAAAATGTACCTGGTGTACACAAAATAGATTTGTATATCTTGTGATTATTGAGAAATAGTTAAAGGTTTTTGTGTGCGGAATTCAGCTTTAAATTAGAAGGCAATAAAGGTAAAAAACAAACACACAGTCTTGAAGTAACCAAATACTGTACATTGCAGGTTTACATAACCACACACAGAGGTGTTGATGATCTGGACTGTCACACCAGAACAACAAATAAAGCTTACCAAAGAAGACTGAAGTGAAACTGGTTATAAAAATTAAAGTATGCCCAAAAAAATGAAAGACTGTTCACTTTATGAAGTATTCTATGATCATATCTAAACCAGACAGCATCATGTATTGGTAAATTATTAT